GTTGGAAGATAGTGAATTCATATTTCAGTAAGATAATGACCCAAAACATATATCCGGAAAAGCCAAGCGATAGTTCGAAAATAATGATATCACTTTACTTGATTGATCCGTCCAGTCTCCTGACTTAAATCCAATTAAAAATTTATGGAATAAAATTGACAAACGCTTACAGAATCTTTCTGATCCACTTTTGAATAAAACCAATTTGCAAGAAAAGCTACAAATTACTTGGAGAAGTATTGAAATTGCCTTTTGTGAAAAGTTGATCAATTCAATATCAGAAAGGATTAATAATATGATACAGGTAAAGGGTGAGTATATAGAATGGTAGTCTTAGTTTACCAATATGTAATATGATTTTTTTAACAATAGCTGATATTTCCTTAAGAAGAAACTTGTCTTTAAATATTGTCCTCCAAATCGGTTATAATGGATGAAATGCTAAAAAAAAATTAGAAATTTAAGTTAGTTTAATTTCAAAAGAAAGATGAAAATAAAAATTATATTAAGTTATTGTGATTATTTTAATGAATAAAATCCACTTTCTTTTGGTCTCTGATAATTCTTCAATAGTGAGATATTCAAATCTTGTCATTTTTTTTTCTGCGTTTCATTTCTTTAGTGAGTCATTGTAAATCAAACATAAATAGATCTGGTACAATATCTGAAATCTTGATATGGAATTCATGAATTCTGAAAAAATGATACTAAAAATTTAAACAGTTTGTACTCCAATACTCTTAATAAACACTATACTAGTATACACTTGTAAATACATATTAATAAAAGAATAATTACATATTAATTTCCTTGTAGCACTTATATAGTATCGACAAGTGTGAGAACAAAGAATTATATCATACTCTCAAAATTATTTGGAAAATGATTATTATTAATTATTGTATATAAAATAACTAAAAATAAACTACAAAAAATAGATGAATAGGAGAATAGATATCCAATAAACTCTTTGTGATGAGTCAGATGATTAATGATTAATAATATAAGTAGTGCAGATTACTGTGTTATGAAATGGAAAAGGAACAATCAAAGATGAACAAAAAGTATTTGAGTGATATTTGAAATTAGTAGAAGCTGGAAATTCTATAGTACAATATAACCTTGCTCACTATTATAAAAATGGAAAAGGAATAATCAAAAATGAACAAAAAGCATTCAAATAGTATTTGAAATTAGCAGAGTCTGGACATTCTGAAGCACAAAATAACCTTGCTTTCTATTATGAAAATAGTATAAAAACATTTAATTCTGTTTATTTTTATTTTATTTTATATTATATCATATTTCTAGTTAGATTAATTTTTCCAAACGATTATATAATAATAATAATAAAATATTGCTAGCCAATCAGCATGTAATGCTCTTATATAGAGATATATGTAATATAAGTGTTCTTCAGAATTATGTTCTTGTTCCTTTATAAATTGTTCTTTTATAAAGGGAAATTTACTAATAATTGCATCTGTCCCATAAAATGATGTTCTTTATGAGAGGTTGTTCCTTTATGGAGGGTTCTTTTATAGAGGGTTGACTGTAGTTCTTTCTTATTGTAACAATTTTGATTGGGTTATCTTCCTTTAGATCTCTTTTAGTTTAGATCTTCATTTTGCGCTATCTGTATAATAGATTAGCTTTATATTACATTTTTAAGAAGATCATTTTCATTCTGGATACACAGATGATCATTATATATTAAATACTTCTAGATTTAACACACAGTTACTCAGATGATCACTATGTGTACCCATATTATTAATTTAGATCTGAATACTTTTAAACAATAAAAACAATCATAAGTTATAAAATTAAAACTTATTCATATCGCATTTTATCTTGTTTACAAACATTAACAAAATAATCTTACACTTATGAACTAAATAGTTCTATTTAGCTAGTAAAAGTTTTCTTGATTCAAAAGCAATTAATTGATTACTCTTATCTTGATTTTAACTTAACACAGCTCTAATAATAAAATTTAAAGCATCTATAAGAACTATGAATAGTAGTTTTGAATTAGATAATAACAAGACTGATACTGAAGTGAGATATTATTTTAGTTATTCAAAAGCTTATTGTATTATTATAGATTATTTATAATTTTTATCTTTATGTAGAAGTACTATGAGAGATGATGCTATTGCTAAAAATCCTTTCACAAATTTTTTATAATAACTTGCTAATTCTAGAAAAAAGTGAAGTTTTAATATATTGATTAGTACTGGTTAATCTTTAATTACAGTAATTTTTCTTTGATCAACTAATATATTATTTGCTAATATAAAATATTCAAGATATTTTATATACTGTTATATAATATTACATTTCTTCTATTTAGTATACAATTTGTATTTGTAAAGTATTTCTAGTGCTATAACAAAGTTATCTCAATTCTTAAAAGGAGTTGCATAATTATTAGTCTTGTATTTATTGAGATATCAGTATAATGCTGCATTAGTAAAGGAGATGATAGCATATTATACTTATATCTTTTTATCTGTAATTTCTTGAATCAAAAATATAATTTTAGTTTGCATTATTCAAACAAGATATTTTCATTTGGCTCTCCAGAATATATAAGTAGTTTAACTAAAAGACAAGATGAAGACTTGGAATTAGAGAGATCATCTTCTTTAATTATCTTGATTAATTCAGTTATATTCTATATAAATTATATGAATTATTCTATATTTATCTTTATTAAATTTTAATAATTTAAAAACTAAGTTATATATATATATGTATAATATATGATATATGAGTATATAAGATATTAGAAGATAATATTTGTAATAATCATATCTGCTACTATTAAGTTGTAAGATTATTTTGTTAATAGTTATAAACAAGATAAAATATAATATAAATAATTTTAATTTTATAACTTATGATTATTTTTATTATCTAAAAGTATTTAGATTTGAAAAATAATTTATAAAACAGAGAGATTATATTTATAATGAAAAGAAATGAATATGAAATGCAAATAAATTAATAATAAATCTATAATATGGTTGAATAGAATTAATTAACTTAATTTGCATCTCTAGAGGACAACTAATTATAATTTAATAATTAATAATAATATAAATATAATAATAAGAAGAACAAATAAAATTATAAAGAAATATTAATAATAAATGTAATTAAAAATATTAATAATCTAAATTAATAATTATAATATATATAGTAATTATCTGAGTAATAATATGCTAAATCTAGATATATTAAATACATAATGATTATTTATGTATCCAGAATGAAATTGATCTTCTTAAAATATAATACAAAACTAATTTGCTATACAGATAGCATAAAATAAAGATCTAAACTAAAAGAATCTAAAAGAAAGATAATCCAACAAAGTTTTTATATACAGATATTATTTTAATAAAGAAATAAATAAATAATAAAAGAAAATATAAATCAAGAAAATTATAAAAATCAATTAGTAAAGCTATTAATAATTAATATAATTCAAGACTTAAGTAATTAAATAGTAAAACTATTTATAATTAAAGAAGATTATGACCAAAAAAAAATAAAATTAAGATAAATAAAAAACTAAATAACTAAAAAAATATAGTTTATTTATAGTAAAGATCTTTTATTTTCAAAAATAATATAATAAATAAAAGAATAACTTATTTATAATAGAAATTTTCTTCTCTTAAAATAATATTAAAAATTAAAAATTAATATAATATTATAATTTAAGTAAAAATTAACTTTGTATGATTAAAGAAATAAAACCAATTAAGAGAAAGAGTACTAGTATAATTAGAAAAGAAATCTTTTAAGAAGATTATTATCATTATTAAAATAATAAGCTTTTTAATTATATTTTTCAAATAATTTAATTTAAAACTATTTATTTCAAGTTGGAATAGGAGATTCTTTTATATATTTTTTAGATATATAAATTATTATATTATTATTAGTTAATACTATCTAAATATATATATTATTATTATAAAGAGCTATAATTTATATCCTAAAATATTAGTAATTAAAATGTTGATATCTAAAATATTAATATTTTGCTAATATTCAAAAAATTAATATTTTATTAATATTATAAATATTGATATCTAAAATATTGATATTAAAAATATTAATATTTTATTAATATTACAAATATTAATATTTTATTATTTTATCAAAAATTAAAAATAAACTTTAACTATATTATTTTATTAAGTACATAAATTATAAAATTATAGAAAAATAAAATTTCACATAATCAAAAAAAGATTATGAAATTAAAGAATTTTATATAACTATAATAATAATATATTTATCAAATTTAGGATAATTTACTTATATAGTTTAAAGTTTTAATCTTGCAAATTGATAGTAATAATATTTAAAATATTTTTTTTTAAAATAATAATTTTATTTTAGTTTTTTAGTAAAGTTAAATTAAAGTATAATAGAATAATTAAAATAGTATAAAAAGTTAATTTAGATTATTCTTTATTTAATATAAAAAAATTATAAAGATTAGTTAAAATTTGAATGATTTTTATTAAAAATAATTATTAATTTTATATTGATATACCAATCTTTTTGTACCAGTCCATAATAATTTTTATATTAATAATAATAATATTTATTTAAAATATATTATTTATTTTGAAATCTTTTTTCAAGATAATTTTTTATCTTAATTATCTTTTTTATTTTAAAATGATTATTATAATAATAATTTTTATATGATAAATTATTTCAATATCTGAACTATTAATTTTTATACACTCAGTTTAGAATTGTTAATGGAATACTTTAGTTTATATTAAAATATATAACCAACTCTATAGCAGCTCTGAAGTGAATTATATAATTTAATATAAAATAAAGCACTTTATTTTCAATTCTAACTTAGTCTTTATGAAAAATATGGGAAGAGATCAATAAAAACAATCAAATTTATAAAAATTCAAAATATATTATATTAAATCAAATCTATTCAAGTAATATTATCATGAAATATGTAATAGTTGTTTTGTAATATTATAATTACTTTGAGAAATATTAGCTAAAATATTAAAATCAATTTGTATTATTTATATTACTATTCAAGTATTAAAAATAAAAAAATCCATTTAATTATGTATCAATAAAAGCATATAATTCAATTATTGAATGATAGTGCTGCAAAAATTCTTGATGGAATTATATTTTATAGACATTTTAAGAAAAACAATATAATAATGCAATTTTACACACTCATGAATTATATTACATCAGGGATTTTTTCCCTATTTGAACTGACAGTTATATGAAGAAAATCTTCAAGAGCTTCTAAAATAGAATGATTAGTACTGAATCAAAAAAATGCCAATTGCAATTTTTTATAATTTTTATGATCATATTGTTTATTTTCATTACTCTGCGAGGGATTAACTAACAAAGAATGTTTAAAATTAAGAAAGTTATCATGTGGGTCTGATGACAATACACATAGAAGAAGATTTAGTTATAGTTTGATGACAAGTGGAATCAATGTTGGCAAGTCTAGACATCAACAATGGTATCCATCAATCGTTACATTATCTTAATAGTTATTGATGAAAGAGTCTACAAATAAATTTCTAGATTCTTAATAGAATCACGGTTGTTGTATATGGGGGTGGACGCTCTTCTCTTAGCATTCGGGGGGGGGGGGGGCACGCGCCTGGACCAGTTTAGGAATTTCGGTCAAGTCTTGTGTATTCAAAAATGATACGGATGAAAATGGGCATTTATAATGATCTGCAAAAACAGTGGAATTTGCTGGCTTAATAATGGCGCGGGTCCGCCGGAGGCGGTATCATAGTTTCCCATGATTATGAAATGTTTATGGAGATACGATGAAAATGATAGGTCAATGGCCCATGTGAAGGAATACCATGTTTCAGTCTATGGATCGGCGCTGCGCGCGTTTTGGAAAGCCAGCACCTCCAATTTGGCATATATGATCAGGGTCATGATTTTATAATATAATTTTATTAACTTTGCTTCCCAGAGGCTGTAAATTTTTCGAAATAGTTGTTGCATTTTTTCTTTTAGTAATGAATTCTTTTGAGTGTTGTAAAGCTCGCCGGGACGACCACCAGCGGTAAACAAACTAACACTAATTTAATTCTAGTCCATGATGAGCTTTTAACAATTTTCATTTTATATAATGCATTTTTATTCGATAAATATACTTTCTTTTTGCATATTTGAAATACATGCATATAAATGCTATTTAAAAACCAGAAGAACGCAAGTTACTCGATATAAAATAATAATCGCTCTAAAAAATAATAAAAGTTGCTATATTCTTTTAAAAACCCTACCAACAATATATAATAATGAATCTATGATAAAATAAACCTTGTCTGTACAGTAATATAATTTGTGTACATATAAACAGAGAAATGCATGTGTGGCTCACATGCACACAGCTAATATACAAAGAAAAAACAAATCGGGCTTTCAATTGGACCATTAGACTTGGAGAAATTGGGCTTATAATAAAAAGTGACAGCATTGATTTGTAGTAAAAAATCTTAATTTTTGAGAAATGGAATGAATCTTAGAGCATGTATGATTTAATTCAATAGCTTAAATGGTAAGGAAGACGAGGTTTATCTTGTGAGATGTTGAAGTTAAAATATGTAACTGAGAGATTAATAAAACACAGCAATTTTATATTATTTATTGTCACCGGGGAAAATAAATAAAAAATGGGAAATATTTGTTCTATCAAAGAACAAAATAATTTTTTGAGTTGGTAATCCAATACCAAAAATGTTTATACGAAAAAAATAAAATGTTTGTATAAAAATAAAAATGTTTGTATAAAAGCAAAAAGTTTTTTTAAGAGATAATGTTCGATCGTCGCGATCGTGAAGCTGAACTCATAAACATGAATTCTTCGTTGTCGTCAGTTTCACTATCCCATTCATCCTCAGAATTATCGCTAGAGCAACTCGCAGATGCAATTTCTGAATTACTATCATCAGCAAAGACTACATCCATTAAATTCGAAAATCGAATTACCGCCGAAACGCGTCGTAAGAATTCTGAAACATTAATCGGAGATTGCGGTCGTTCTAGTGGCGAGATCGTATTATTTTGATCATTTTTGCAATTATGTTGATAATAATTATTACTTTGATATAAATCTTCCGTATCAAATGACGAAACAGAAGAGATTGAATCTGAACGACCACGTTTTAAATAAGCATCAAATGCCTGTGGTTTTCGTAAATGTTTTTGAGCACGTGTTCTGCGTCGTTTTTGTTGCTGTTTTTGTTGTCTTTCTGATAAGTAAATAGAATGTGTGGGTGATGTATAATTTGGATAATAATCGGAGTCTAGTGACAGGTTTGTGGTGTTTATCTTTAGGTTTGGTGTGGCTGCCATTTTTATTTTTTATTTTTTATTTTATATATATGACTCGTATATTTTTTATGAGTGATCTAAAGAACCAAATCAAACTCCAAAGTTTTATGAAGTGAAAACAAACAAATGGCGACGGCCCGAGTTATTTATATACTTTTTCGGGGTCCCAGACTAAAAAATTATCAGTAACTCTTCGGAGGAAAAATCTGTAAATGAATTTCTATATTGGGAATAGATATGAAACTTTTCCTTTTTTGATAGTACCCATAAAATTTTGGGCTTATCGTCCAAAGTAAGTGAATCATAACGCATACTTGAGTGTGATAGAACAATAATTTTTGCAGAAACAAATAGAGCTATTACTGTTTTCTATGCTTGTTTATCCTTCTTTTAGTTCATTTTTTTTCTTGATTTTTTAGTACGGTTCCTATATATTTTTTTTTTGTTGAATCATTCACCTACAGTAATTACCAATACAGCATTGAAAAGAAATGATACAAATTCCTAAATTCCACTAGCATTCTTTTCACACTTTCAATATAACAATTTATAAATTTGGGAAAGAGAACTGCGTTGCATTAGGTTTTACGCAGCGCATTATGCAAGTGAGTTTAGTATATGCACACGTAGTTATTAAAATGACACAAGAAAATAAACACACGCCATCAAAACACATCAATCAAACAAAAAAATTACCTTGGTGTCATTTGAATAAATGAGATATTGAGACATCTCTTGAAAAATCTTTTTTGGGTGGTGGGAAACAGATATACATGTAGATAACTGAAAATGGGAACTTGATCAACTGACTAATTCATTCATTCTGTCCCCACGTCTGCATGACGGGGCACGCGGCGGAATCACTTGATTATCATCGGGTTCAAACTACAGACTTTCTCACATGATGCGATCATCATTAAAACAAGTTAATCGAATGTATTTTACCATGCCAAATGACCCAGTACCAATTAAAGAAAAATATAGTGATCGTGATACATGTAGAAAATAAGATGATGACAAATGCCCATTCCGATTTTCTTATTACAGAAATAACGATAAATTTCATATTGTATGTCATGTACATGTACATGTATGCATTACACCATTCTGATAACGAAACACGAAGTATAGAATGATAAAATTTGCCAATTTCATAAAGCAATATGGGTTTTTTTACCCGAGTCATGTTTTTCTTCTATCATGTGAGACCTTGCCAAAATAAACGCATATATGTTATGTTTTAATAACTTATACGCAGTAAATTTCTGCCTAATAGTTGATAACTTTTCATTT